AGAGCTATAAGCTAAGAAAGATAACAAAACAGTCCTTTTCAGGATTACACACCTCCAAGAAAGATTACAGAGTCTGAGTCTTTTCAGGACTCCTCTCAACCCTCTCTCTCTCTCCATGGTGCACCCGCAAGCCTACTGTATGAATAATGTATGTGTTTATTAATGTATTCTTACTTTACAGTACAGCATCCTTCCCAAAGACATCAAATACAAACATGAGGTTCGAGCTGCAGCTAATGAGATCCGAGCGGTGGGTCGGCGTTGCATCTTGGCTCGTATAGATGCTCTTAGACGGGGTGACCAAGTTCCTCAAGACATTCTAACTTACATCCTCCAGGAGTCAAACAACTTGGAAGGAATCAAAGACTTTGACTTAGAAGATATGGTCGATGAGTTCGTTACCTTTTTCGGAGCTGGTAAGTTTTTTTGTGCACCATCTTGCTTTTCTTATTCTTATAATAAACTGATTTAGTGGTCAGCTGTCTGTCGCCATGCACCCTTAATCCAATTCTGATAACTCAAAACTCAAGTTCATCTTTCAGATGACGACTTTAAAGGTTGGTATCCAGACGTGGATGGGATCTGATTGACAATATACAGTATCTATAAAAACCTGATTACACATTTTACGTTTAACACACTTCCACAAATCACCGTTATAGTACTATGCCTACTAAGGATGCATCGGTACTGATTTTCCAAAAGAGATGGTTGACCGCTTTGCATATTATAGGCTATTTCTGAAGTTTATTTCCAAAGTTTATGAGGTAAATCTGCTTTTACAGTATGAAAGGTTAGCAAGGAAGTTGATATAAATGTCAGTGTGAGAAAAATTGTGTTTATGTGAAATAATTCCTACAATACATGCTATCTTAGAACAGACTGCAAATGTAATCCAACTGTTTATATTTTACTTTTTATGCTTCCGCTACAAAGGTAAGGTTCATAAGATAAGGTTCATCTTTATTGTCCATTTAACAATGGAAATTCATTGTGTTACATGGTATTGCGATACACATATATTTAACATAATACGCTCATACAAAAATCAAATGAATGAATTTTTGAGTTGACAGTAAACAAAAATAAACAATTAACAATAAATAAAAAAATATATAGTCATGCATCGAAAATAATATAAATGTATATCAAGTTAGGTGGAATGACTATAGGAGTTTACAAGTATCGATAATGTATAGCATTATTATCATTGCTTTATAGTCTTATTATTATTATGATTAATACTATTATTATTAACAATGGAAATTTGTTGTGTTGCATGGTATATACATATATATATAAATTTTACAAGTATCGAAAATGTATTGCATTATTATCATTGCTATTATAGTCTTATTATTATTATTATTATTAACAAGGGAAATTTATTGTGTTACATGGTATTGCGGTACACATTATATACATATGTATATAACATTTAACCAGTATCGATAATTTGAACTTGAACTTGAGCTTGATTATAATTGTTATTATTATAAATTTTATGATTATTATTATGATTATTATTATTGTTATTATTATTATGGTTATAATTACAATTGTAACTAACATCATTATTATATTATTATTTTATCTTTATTAATTATAATATTATTATTATGAAAAGGTATCGTTACTACGTTATTATGTTTTCGGGTTGTCCGTCCGTCCGTCCGTACGTCCCGTTCTTGTGATCGCGTTATCTCAAGAACCGATTGATTAATTCACGCCAAACTTGAATCATGTATGTATCTTGCAGAGCCAATGAACTGATTAGATTTTGGGGTCACGAGATCTAAGGTCAAAGGTCACAGGGCTCATTATGTATGCAAAAATAGCTTGTGATCGCGTTATTTCAAGAACCCATTGATGGATTCCCACCAAACTTGGATCATGTATGTAACTTGCAGAGCCAATGAACTGATTAGATTTTGAGGTCACAAGATCCAAGGTCAAAGGTCACAGGGCTCAATATGTATGCAAAAAAAGCTTGTGATCGCGTTATCTCAAGAACCCATTGATGGATTCCCGCCAAACTTGGGTCATGTATGTATCTTGCAGAGCCAATGAATTGATTAGATTTTGGGTTCATGAGGTCAAAGATTAAGGGTCAAACATGTATATGAAGCGTAGCTTTCAATCACAATATTCTGAGAACCTTTTAATGGATTGCAATCAAACTTGAATTTTAAAAATTGCTTCTGTTTTGGTTTGTAAAATTGCTCCATGGCGCAGTCCCCCTTTTTATAGAACGACAGCAAACATTCTATTTTAATATTTTAAACAATTTATTTAATTTAATTATTTACGGTATGTGTATAATCAGTCATTTGTCACCATTCATAATCCAAGTTTCTTATGTTTTATAACTGCTGTTGTGTGCAATTTATACTTATAGAGTGTGCAAATGTTATGTATTGTTCCTTTATTATGCCAGGCCCTCGGATAGCACTTTGTTGACGAAGGCGCAACCCTGCTGTAATAAAACTGAATATTGACTGAAATTAAAGAAATCAGACAGTAGATTTTAAGGGGCCTCAAAACAAGACTATAAAGTGCGACCCAGAAACAACAAAACCGAGAATTATCGATGTTTTATCATAACTTAATCACAATTATAATTAATAAATGACACATATTTGTAAAGCTTAGATCCTCTTTCATTTGATGCAACTCATATGATGCATATTTCAGGCATGAGTGATTAAAAGCAATTTGAAGGAAGGAAACCAAAAAGTCATTTGGCAGGCGGTATCTGAATTTCAAAGAAAAATTCACATTTCTAGAAAGTTCTGTTTGCTTAAAGTGATGCTTGCATTTCCATAAAGTGATTACACAAATTTGTTTTCACTGGCTGCCTTCCGTAGCAACAAACGGAATTGATAAAGACTTAACTCCATTTCGTTGACGATCAGACATAGACGAAAGACTTCATGCGTGGCTGATTGTCAATGAAATGGAGTTAAGTCTTTTGTCGATCCTGCTTGTTGCTACGGCAGGCAGCCAGTGAAAACAAACTTTTTTAATTGAATCATGGAAATGAAAGCATCACTTTGAACAAACAGAACTTTGTTATTCCTTGCTCATTTTTCCTGATTGAGGTGTCATATGAAAGGGCAGAAACTGAACTTTCTAGAAATGTGAATATTTCTTCGAAATTCAGATACCGCCCGCCAAATGACTTTTTGGTTTCCTTCCTTCAAATTGCTTTTAATCACTCATGCATGAAATGTGCATCATATGAGTTGCATCAAATGAAAGAGGAGGATCTAAGCTTTAAAAATATGTGTCATTTATTAATTATAATTGAGATTAAGTTATGATAAAACATCATTAACTCTCGATTTTGTTTTTTTTCTGGGTCGCACTTTATATATGAACAGAATTTGTGTAAATATAACATGACAGGGATGTTTTTGGAAGTCAGGTTGATCTCTTTGTAATTTGTAGATTGGTGTTTATATCTACCATCTATTGTTGAATGCTACAATGTTGAAAGATAATACATTTCAATGATATTTGTACCCACCAGGTCAGGAAACAACAGCCAATCTTCTCTCCTTCACTCTTCTTCATCTTGGTAGAAATCCTCAAGTCATGAAAAAGTAAGTATGGTATCTTCAAATAGATGTACCTCCCCTATAAATCTAATGGTACCATATCCTTACATACTATGTACCTCCCTTATAATTTTTTTTTATACCACAAAATTATTGTATATAAGTGCGATCAGGATTATTTTTAGGGATTGAAACAATAATGGTTCAGATTTTTTCTCCTTATCAGACCTCATGTTTTTTAATTTTTTTTGTTAATTGCAATAGCTGATGAAGTTATAAATGATGAATTTTTTGTAGGGGTATCAGAGATTTATATTGACAAATAGAATTGCTTCTTTCGGGCACCTTTGCTGTTTTATTTTCTGATCCAAGTCAAAATTACCTTTATTACAATTTTCTGATATACTACTAAACTCACGTTTAGAAACTTTTTCTGGTATTCATCAATTTGCTTAATTTACCTTCTCAGTTAACAATTATTGTGATTTTTTTTGTTCAGTAGAAATATTACTGATACCTGCTGATCCTAAAGAAATCAATTTATTAAAACTAAAGGATATTTATAAATCCTTTTGATCTTTTTATTTTTACACAGACTCCGTGATGAAATTGATACTGTATTGAAAGGGAGAAACTATGTTGAATATTCAGATGTCGGCAAGATGAAGTATCTAACCTTGGTAAGACTGTAATTCTTTTCTTTTTACATCAAGAGGTTAAACTTTTTGTTATGAACTGTAGGACTAAAGTTTCATTCACAAAAACAATGTCCGATGAAGACCCAATACTATGTTGTTGTTTTTTACAATTTAAAAAAAAGTGGTATCTTACTTATGGCAACCGTTTGTGAAGGCCTTGCTGTAGCATCAATGTTTATAATTTGTTACTGATTAAACTTCTGGATTTCCTAGTTCATAAATATACTTCTCAAACATGCATACTCAGGAGCTTTGAACCTTATTTCATATGCCTGTTACCTTACAGGGCATTTATTTACAGGATATGTATGTATGATTTTTAAGTTTCCCTTCATCTTTGAGGAAATCCATTTTTAATCTACAACGATAGAATGCTGAAAGTTCTTAGCAAATGTATATTATTGACTGTCTTCTTTTTCAGGTTTTGAAAGAGACTCTTAGAATCAACCCTCCTGTTGGTCATTTGCATAGACTTTTACCTCATGAGATGGATATATGTGGATACAAAGTACCTAAAGGCAGTGTTGTAATGGTAAGTATGTATATCCACAGTCAATGATGACGATTCACATCATTTGTATGGCGCCATATATCTGTTTTTAAAAAACTTTCAAAGGCGCGATCGAGCTCCTCCAATAAAGTTAACATTTAAATGTCTGAAGGAAGATCCGAGTCTTGAGCGAAGCTTTGAAGTGGTCCTGGTTGTCAATTTCGCAGAGAAATGATGGGAGGGAGTTCTACGGGCGAGGAGTAATAGAGGAAAATGCCCGGTCTCCATATCCCTTGGGATGAGTAATGGGCATCTGGAGAGTAAGGCTAGATCAGCGAAGTCCAGGGCGAAGGTGACGCCGCTCAATTAAAGAGGACACATACAGTATCCTGGGATCTGATAATGAATCGCCTAAGGAGCAGCAGGACCTTGAATTCAATTCTGCTCTTGACAGGAAGCCAATGCAGCTCAGCCAGGACAGGAGAGATGAGATCATGCTTCCTCAGCCCAATAGCTGCTGCATTCTGTACTGCTTGAAGTCTGTTCAAGATTGCAGAAGGAAGGCCAGCTAGAAGACTGTTACAGAAATCAAGTCTTGAGGAAATTAGTGAATGGATAAGGCTTTTTGCTGCCGTCCTCGTAAGCAATGGTCTAATAGATGCAATGTTACGAAGCTGGAAGCAAACAGTCTGACATACCTGTGAAATATGCCTGTCCATTTCCATGGACTGATCGAAGTAGAGCCAAGGTTACAGGTGCTTACCATAGGAGAGACGGACACATTGCCAACTTGGAGGTCCATGAAGCTGATCTTGTTCCTCATGTTTGCTGAAGAGATGATGAGATATTCGGTCTTGTCTTCATAGAGTTTCATGAAATTCTTCACGATCCATTGACGGATATCGGCAAGGCAGGCGGTCATCCAGGCAGCTATGGCCTTTTCATCAGTTGCCACTCTTAGATCAAACAGCTGAGTGTCATCTGCATAGAAGTGGACTAGTAGACCATGTTGACGGGCTACGGAAGTGTGCAACATGAAGATTATAGGTCCAAGGAAGGAACCCTGCAGAACACCATAGGTCAAGGAAGCTTCATCCGACACAGTTCCATTGATTTTCACAGCCTGTCATCTGCAGTGAAGATACGACCTGAACCATTCAGGGGCATCTGCATAGAAGTGGACTTGTAGACCATGTTGACGGGCTACGTAAGTGTGCAACATGAAGATTATAGGTCCAAGGAAGGAACCCTGCAGAACACCATAGGTCAAGGAAGCTTCATCCGATACAGTTCCATTGATTTTCACAGCCTGTCATCTGCAGTGAAGATACGACCTGAACCATTCAGGGGCAGCGTCATCGAGCTTGAAGTCCCGTTGCAGCCTCTGGGGAAGGACTTTGTGATCAATCGTATCGAATGCAGTAGATAAGTCCAAAAAGAATTACTATAGCTGCTTTCTTCTTGTCGACTGCCCTCAAGATGTCATAAGATATTTTCAAAGGAGCAGTCTCCACGCTGTGAAGCCCTTGTACGGAGACTGCATGGTCTCTCAAGGTGTGATGTCAGTCTTTTGGCTACTACTTTCTTCAAGGACTTTGGCGAGGAAAGGCAGGTTAGATATAGGTCGATAGCTGCTCATCTCATCACGATCTAGGGATGACTTCCTCAGTACAGGAGTAACATGAGCAAGTTGCAGTTCAACAAATTACTTATGGCCAAAGAAATTACATTCTTGTATCCATTCGCCTGCGTAGTAAAAAGCGAGACATAGGCGCCGCTTTTCCGGTGGCGGCGGCGGCCTCAACATCAAAAACCTAACTTAAGGTTAAGTTTTTGAATCTTTAATATAATTTTAGAAGTATACCAGTAAGTTTTTATGCCTCCGCTACAAAGTAGCCGGAGGCATTGTTTTCTGGTTGTCCGTACGTACGTCCCGTTCTCATGATCGCGTTATCTCAAGAACCGATTGATGGATTACCGCCAAACTTGGATCAAGCATGTATCATGCAGAGCTAATGAAGTGATTAGATTTTAGGGTCACAAGGTCAAAGGTCACAGGACTCATTATGTATGCAAAATAGCTCGCTATCGCGTTTTTTCTAGAACCGATTGATGGATTACTGCCAAACTTGAATCATGCATCTTGCAGAGCTAATGAACTGATTAGATTTTGGGGTCAAAGTTCAAATGTCACAGGGCTCATTATGTATGCAAAATAGCTTGTGATTGCGTTATCTCAAGAACCGAATTATGGATTACCGCCAAACTCAGGTCATGTATGTATCTTGCATAGCCAATGAGCTGATTAAATTTTGGAGTCACAAAGTCAAAGGTCACAGGGCTCATTATGCATGCAAAATAGCTCTCAATAGATCTCAAGAACCGATTGATGGATTCCTGCCAAACGTGGGTCCATCAATCAGTTCTAGAGATAACGTCGTGTATGTATCTTGCAGAGCCAATAAACTGATTAGATTTTGGGGTCACAAGGTCAAAGTTCAAAGGTCATAGGGCTCATTATGTAGCACAAATAGCTTGTGATCACGTTATCATGAGAACCAAAAGACAGATTACTATCAAACTCAAGACATGTATATGTATCTTGCAGAGCCAATGAACTGATTAGATTTTAGGGTCATCAGGTCAAATGTCATGGGGCTCATAAAGAATGCCTATATATAGCTTGTGAATGCATTATTAAAGATGACAGATGGATTACAATCAAACTTGAATTTTAAAAGTTGCTTCCGTTTTGGTTTGTAAAATTGCTCTATGGCGGAGGCATCATTTTTTACTGCGCGCAGTCAAAGTTCCATCTAGTTATTCAATGAAACTTAGACTAAAAGGTTATCCCCAAGTATCCCCAATCATGTGAGTAGAATTTCAGATCAACAAACTTAGACTATGTTGTGGCATCAACATCAAGACTTAACATAAGGTTACGATTTTGAATTGTTATCATAATTTTGAAAGTATACATTCCTATTCCATGAAACTTGAACATAGGGGTTATCAAGTATCACAAATCATATGATGCAAAGTCCAGGTCAAAGGCCATTTGAGGTCAGTAGACTTGGATTATGTTTTCACAACTTAATATGAGAATTAATAAATCACTTTTTATTATTTGTTCATATGCCATTAAAGTTATCAATCTTGGTACAAATTCTAGTAAATAATTTTCCTGATGATTCTTAGCCGATATTCAGTTCAAAATGCTGATTATATTCAGAGGATTTCATTTTTTTTTTTGTGGGGGGGGGGGGGGGCTGCTAATGGGCCACCCTGCCTATAAATAATTTCCCAACCTCAATTTTTCATCATATCGAATTGCGTAATTCAGGCGAGACCGCCGAGAGCATTTCCCTTGTTTTAAATCTGGGATGAAAAAGAACAGAATACAAATAAATGGGACCAGCAAAATTAACTGATATAACTAGAGGTTGTCATAAGCAGTGTTCATGATAACTTCCTCTGTATTTCCTTTCTGTATTGCTTACCATAATTTTGTATTATAATGTGTAGGATTATGAAAGTAATAAAGATATGGTAGCCTATTAATCAAAGCATGTTTTACAATTTCTATTCAGGTGCCGATATATGGAATGGGTAGGAATGAGAAGCATTTCAAGAATCCAGAGAAGTTTGATCCGGAAAGATTCACAAGGGATGAAGACAGGTAGGAATAAAATCAATCATAATGTGAAAGAAAAACCTGATATGTTCAGGGATATTTATTAGTGTTAGTTGGAGAAGAAAAAAAAAACAATCAGGGAAATTTATTAATATATTTCATAACCATTTCTTTGCTTTGTTTTGATGATCTCTGACCTTCTAAAATTAAATTTAATGAAAAACATATAAATAGAATGGTACTTATATATGTGACCCGGCAACACCAAACCCCAAAACAGTCACATGGTGTGATTTTCAGTTTGGGTTAAATATATATGTATTCCTGCAGGATAGTCAAATTGTACTCTACTTACATTTTGTGAAAGAATGTACTCTTTATCTTATTTCAAAAAGGTATTTTGGCAGTGTGTTGTTGACCTATATTATGTTTGTTTGATTTTGAGTCTGTCTAGTGTTGTAATTTTCATTTCTTTACAACCCTGGCCCACTGGTCTCACTTATATCTCCTATAACTTTGAAATAGAGTAAGCTGTTGTATTGATACATAGACAAAATAGAGAACGGGATGTGCCTAACTGATCTGTTACAAGATTTAGGACAATCCATTATCCCTTTTCAGAAATTTGTATCGAGTTTTAATCCTCTTGTTGTCATCTCACACAATATGCTTTCTCCAAGTAATATTGTTTCAGAACAGACATTTTTCTCTTTTTTAGTTGGGTTAGGGAATTTGATGAATAATAAATATTTGATTTTAAAGCCGAGAATCTTGGCTTAGAATCAGACCTAAAGTATCAAAATAATTTTTTTTTAATCTGGCAACTTTTTGATGGTTTGTTGGTGCTAGGTCACATTATTGACACACACTTGAAAAATGACGTCTCAATAATCGTATTATAAACATGTTAATAAATCTCAAGTCAGACTAAAGGTAAAATTTTGATTTAAAAAAAAAATTCTGGTGATTGGAATGACCCCAACCTATGTTGTACTAATATCTTTCAAAGCCAATAGGAGGAATCTAACCGTAAATATAGTCCTAGTGCAAGAGGATAAACAAGAAAAAAACCAATTTTGTTTTCTCTCCACGAAACCTGTGGCCTTGACCAACTGTCTGTATTATTATCTTATATTATGAACTTTCTTTTTTGATCATGCAGCCCCTTATTTGCGTACATGCCATTTTCTCTGGGTGCTCGATCCTGCATTGGCCAGACGTTTGCTATGGTGAGTAAATCAGTCAAAGTAGTTCAATCTACAAGCCGGACCCCCCCCCCCCCCCCCTCATGGACAATATAAATCCCATAGCAGTGAATAGTTGTAAAACATGATTTTTTTAAGGAACTTGCATATCCCATACCTCTTTTTTGCATTATGGAATTGTGAACATAACTTGACATTAAATTATCATATTATTTGCGTTTCATATGAATCATGCTTTATGAGGGCTGTCGGCTGGAAACAGTCATCAGATGAACAGAAATGTTTGATGTGTTCATAATCTATATTTGTTTTCCTCTCATCTCTTGTAATGGTATTGAATGAAAAACGAAACAAACATATTTTCAATTGTTTTTTGTATCCATCAACTAGGATATATTTTCAACCATTGATGAAGATTCCTTTTGTAATTTTGATTGTATTCCTATTAGATTGAATCCAAGGTGGTCATATGTAAGCTCATTCAGCAACTGGAATTCCAACTTGTACCCAACCAGAGCTTTGAGTTTGTAGAAGAGACGCTCACTTTCAAGCCCAAAGATGGCTGCAAAAGTTACATCACAATGAGAAACATTTGACATCACAATGAAAAACCTGTGACATCACAATAACAAAACCTGTGACATCAGGATGAGAAACCTGTGACATCACAATGATAAACCTGTGACATCACAATGATATTAGGGCACATTGTGTGAGGACAGATAATATTGTTTTATATTGGGGATTTGATGTATTATTTTTAACTACACTCGCTAATGCCTATGTCACAAATAAACCGGGCCCTGTACGATTTTCCCTATCCGGCGGCTTGCCGTGGATTTAGAGACCGTACAGGAACCTTCCGATACATTCTACAGCATGTGTGGTCACATATTCTGCAGTGCCCGTGAGGTGCCCGGTGAAAAATGGTAGAGTGAAATGCAAGGCACCTCGGCAGGGTGCCGGCCGGTAAGCTTACGGGCTGAATTTGTTGAATTTGTTGAATTTACCCAACAAAGTCATGGGGGGCCCGTCCGGGCACCGTCCGGAGCCCGCACGGAACCTGTGAGGTGCCCTACGGACCCTTTGCAGGCTTTCTACGGCCTAACGGTCAGATAAAAACGCTGGGAGAATTGGGAGCAGCCAACTCAGCACCACGGCGCCTGTACAGCTTTAAAAACTGTCCCGGCCCCCGTAGGAACTTTGCGGCTGGTTTTACTCGCCGTACGGGCCCCGGAGTGTATATGTGAAAGCCCCATTAGGAGCACTCTAACCACTAATCATTGTGCAGTTGTGCACATACTAACTCAAGGTACCATGATATTTGGATCACTCGGGATATGGTACCCTTTATGCACCTTAAAGGAGAAGTAATGTAGATGAAGATGCTTTTTCATGACAACACAAGTATAGTGCCAGAATAGTGCCAGAACTCAAACCTGTGGAGCGCCAGGAGGGTCAAATCTGACTCACATGAGCGCTATACAAGAACCCATTATTATTTTTATTATATGGATCTCTAGTCAAGTATCGCAAAAACTCTCCTGCAATACCTATACACAATGTAAAGGGGGGAGAGAGGGATAGTATGATACCGCAGGCCTCTTTAAGGGTTACTCTAACCCAACTATTGTGGTATAGTGAGAAAACTTGATTTTATCTTTAAGGTCATCTTAGACTAGACAGAGAGGGGCCTGTGTACTTTGCCTCATTATACGCATATTCAAAATCCACAAACTAAATAGTTCAAATTGAGAGAGTTGTAATAATACTGAATCTGGATTGCTTATGGAGATGTAGGTTATTGATGGTATGTTTTATTAAACATATCTTTGTTTAGAAATATTCAGGTTGCAGAAAGACTAAATAATTGATTTAGGCGGAAGGATATTAAGAGAGTGATTAGGCAGTTTGGGAAGAAAGTTTAGGGCATTGTTCAACCAACTCAGTGAGGAGAGGTGATTGACAATCAGAGTTTTACCGTAGAGTATCCAAAACATTTCGTAATTCGGTCGAGGTATGTTAATTGATTTTTATGCCTCCGTTACGAAGTAGCCGGAGGCATTATGTTTTCGGGTTGTCCGTCCGTCCGTCCGTACGTACGTACGTCCCATTCTCGTGATCGCGTTATCTCTATAACCGACTGATGGATTCCTACCAAACTTTGGTCATGTATGTAACGTGCAGAGCCAATGAATTGAATAGATTTTGGGGTCATGAGGTCAAAGGTCACAGGGGGTCTGTCATTATGTATGCAAAAATAGCTTGTGATTGCGTTATGTCAAGAACCGACTGATGGATTCCTACCAAACTTTGGTCATGTATGTAACTTGCAGAGCCAATGAATAGATTAGATGTTGGAGTCATGAGGTCATAGGTCAAAGGGCTCATTATGTATGCAAAAATAGCTTGTGATCACATTATCATTAGAACAGATGGATAAAGGAAAGTGAAGGGATCGCATCACTGTTTAGAGGTCATGAACACATACAGTGTGTGGCCTAGTACATAATACACAATGTACATACATGTAGATTGTGTGCATTGATGACCATGTGTCTTTTCGTTGTAGTGACTTGTAAACTATGTAAGGCAGAGTGTCTCAGGCGCGGATCAAGGATTTCTTAGGGGAGGGGGCCCAACTTTTTTTTTTTTTGCTCCCAAAAATTTGAAAATCGCACCGGCCGAAAAGTCGCTCAGTGGGGGGGGGGGGGGGTAGTGAGCACATTTTTTTTTTTTTTTTTGGTCCTGGGAAATTTAAAAATTTGCACCCACCCCTACACCCCCCCCCCCCCTTGAGTGCCAAGGGGGGCCCAACCCCCCAAAAAGGTAAAAATCACGTGTTTTAACATTTTTTTTCTCAAGGGGCCGGGCCCCCCCCCCCCCCCCTGGATCCGTCACTGGAGTGTCTTGTGTTTATTTTAATGTTGATGAGTGTATATACATATTTAAATGTACTTTTGTTATTTAGTTATGGTATTGAATACTGTAGCTGGAGTATAATGCACTGAGGGAAGTTTGGAGGGATTTGATTATAGATAGATATGTTTGGGTAAAAGTCAGTCAAGACTGCGTTGTGCTGTGTAAGAGGGGATACTCCATTGTAAACAAATAAGATGACAGCCTCCATGGGAAGGGTTTGATTGACCAGGTTTCGGATTGAGAAATAGTTCTTGTGCTTGTTGGAGGTATGACAAATTAAAGCATTTGTTTACATTTCTATATCTGTTATCTTGATTCCTTTTAATGTCAGAAGTTGAAGTAATATTGTAATTTTACTTAACGTTTGATTCATTTATTTCATTGGTTTGAGTCTTTGATTTAATTGGTTCAGTTATTCTATAATGAAGAGTGACAATTTTAGTTAAGTATAGATACAACATTATTCATCTGTGTATTGATATACTTCATGCATTTTTACGATCATAAATAGGATTTAAATTGTTATGATTAGATTATCGCATTATAATGTTTTGATAATAACAATTTGATGGTATAGTTAACTAGTTATTCATGCGTTGTATATGTAATAAACTCTGGAAAGTAGTTGGTATTTTATTCAAATTAAAACATTTCCCTTATAAGATTTTATTAATGATATACAATGCATTGTTTTTATCACAATTAAATTATTGCAATATTGTTTGGGCAAATTCAAATGATTATTGTATGAATAGATTATATAAATGACAAAAGAAGGCAAAATAGAGCTACCAAGTGTTCCAAGCAATGTTATGTGTAAAATAATATTCCATAAATCCCTTGTGATATTCTTGTAGAAATTCATAAATTTTTTTTTTTTTGATTATGAGACAAAATAATTTTGTTTACTTTAATTTATTTTGTGTGTGAATTATAATCAGGTCTTTTATTTGTGTGACCTAAGGTATGTTGATTTTTATTAAAAGTGTTTTTATTTTAGGGAGAAGCCTGTACTATTGCCCTTTTCTTGTTTTGCTTGTCAGAGAAACTTGTAGCCAAAGTGGCACACATGAAACTTTATGAATTCTAAAAAAAAAAAAAAAGGGGGGGGGGGGGGGTCCTGACCAATGAGGCACCGGAGCTTGAAATGATCATTCCTAGATCTGCCAGTGTTAATTGTGCAGCTATATCAGCTGGTGTTTAAAGCCCCACTGTCCTACTTAATTGTAGCTACTTGCTCCCTCTATGTAGGAAACTTCCCCAATCGGCATCTGTTGGTCCCCCATGATCCTCTTTTTCTTATGTTAGTTGAGAGCTGAGTTAATGAGATAGCCCCCCCCCCCCAAAGTTTTGTTTTTAAAGACGGGCCCCCACCCCTGGCAACAACAAAAAGCAAAACGATAGATTTACCCTTTCCTCTTTTTTTTTGCTCAAGGGGGAGGGGTGTTGAGTTTTTTTTAATAGTGCTCACTACCCTAGATCCGCCACTGATGATGACAATAATGATGATGGTGGTGGTGATGATGGTGGTGGTGATGATGGTGGTGGTGATGATGATGATGGTGATGATGATGATGGTTACGATGATGACGATGATGATACTGCAATGATAAGGGGTGATGACGATGGTGGTGGTATGGTGATGATGATGATGATGATGATGATGACGATGATGATGCATGATGACGATGATGATAATTGTGATGATGGTTATGATGATGGATATGATGGTGATGACGGATGGTCACTGGTGATGGTGATGATGATAGTTATGACGATGATGTAGATGATGATGATGATGGTGAAGATGGTTATGACATCATGGTATCATGCAGTTTGATGATTTTTTTTCCCTCAAATTTAAGGGTTTTTGAAGTGCAGTTCTTGTGTGACTATTTTTAGGGTACCGGTACTCTTTCTCCCAGGCCAGGCGAAACTGAAAACTAATCAGTCTTTTGCCGCAGATGACGCTGTTGTCGTACGCTGAGTGCCCTGTCAGTTATTATTTTGCATAGTGGCACTCGATTCACGTATAAAACACGGTAGTCCAGCGAAATCAAAATGCGGAAGTGGATGGACATGCGCATAGTATGGGAATTTACATTGACTGCATTTTGTACACAAATGATCAGACAGAACATGACCGACAACATCCACGGTCGACCATGGACTAGATCTACATGAGAACTGTATTTGGCCAAACGGTAGCCAGATAATTATTAACGGAAGTCTATGCCTAGAATGTCTTGGGCTGACCGGCCCTGGTGTCTGAGAACCTTATTTGTCATTGATGAATTCATTTGAGCATACAAGGCGACGTCGACTGATGTTTTTGAGGAAATAATCTGCTCCAAACGAAGTCAAATCTGGGCTGGCATTGATTGGCACGTTTGTTTGGAAAGACTGGAACTGTGCTAAAAATAAATTTGTCAGTTCAGTTATTATTATGCAGCGGAACATTGATACATGATACTGAGAAGGGTAACAAGAGGTGAGATCCTTTTCTATTTGATCATGTTGATGATACGTCTCCTACATTATATTATATAGCCTAGCCCTAGACCCTAGGCCTAACGTATTATAAAGAGTCTAGATCTATCATCTAACTTAGTAGTAGTACTACGCCCTACGGTTGGCTGTCAGTGCAGTGTCAGTCTAGATCTACTGTCTATTTTAATATTTAACTCTTAATTTTTATAAAAATAAAAAATGGGTCTAGAATTAGAATCTAGATGAATAACTCAGACTAGACCTCTGGCTCTAGATCATATCATCATAGGTCTACTTAAAGCTAAACTTTAGTACTGGTAATGCGATTGCATTGTGAAAGAAAAGGTGTGAAAGGATCAGAAACAGTTGATCATGTAGCATGTAAGTATTGGTGTGCACTGCAAGGTTCTGGAGTCATCAAAATCATAATAAATTTGACCGAGTCTTGGTAAAGTAACAAACACTCACATAGAAAGCTATATATGGGACAACACACATTGTGTCGGGGATGGTACTACCTTGGTTTCCTTGTCTTTCTATGCTCATTACTCAGCCAGTATACATTTTCTTCCAAAATTGTTTGGCACATGTCATTTATTTGTAATCTTGAACATTCAGTGTAAGTTTCGTTTGATTCTGTGAGAATTAATTTTTTTTTTTTACCAGTAGGCCTAGACTACTGGAGTTTATCTTTAACTTAGATCTAGATGTAACTCCAGGACTTCAGCGGGTGCACATAGTGCATAGCCTAGGGTCTTGGAAAACATTTGGCGCTTGTTCAGAAACGTATCCAAAATTTGGATACTTTGAGATACCTAGATCTAGACCGAATAGAGGTCTAACGAACGAAAGAGACGGGAAATTCGGTCTAGGAGATACCTAGTCTAGACCAAATTTTCTGTCTCTTTCGTTCGTTAGCCTCTTATTGGGGTAGGGTCGGCCGGCTCTCTCTTTAGAGACGGAAACTGTCTACATGTAGATCTATACACATTCCCTTGATAACGCCACGGCCATTTCAGGTCGTAGCGTTTTGCCCCCAAAATCCCCCAAAATATCATTTTACCTCGTGTATATCCAAATGTAAATTAGGCCTAGGCTATAATACATCGGTTCCACTTACTAACTTGATTGAAATAATCCGTTTAATGCCTGGTCCCTTTTAAGGAAATTATGGGTCAAAATCGACATCCATGTTGAAAATCTTGCAAGCCGTGTTAAACTCTCGCTGCCGGAGTCATCTAAATCAATCTCATCCCTTCTAGTCTACCCCGAAGGCAAAAATGATTATGAGGGAAAACCTGTGATAACGCCATTACGAACGTGTAGATGGCGCACAGTTTTTCCTTCATAATCATTTTGCCTTCGGCGTAGACTAGAAGGGATGAGATTGATTTAGATGACTCCGGCAGCGAGAGTTTAACACGGCTTGCAAGATTTTCAACATGGATGTCGATTTTGACCCATAATTTCCTTAAAAGGGACCATTAAACGGATTATTTCAATCAAGTTAGTAAGTGGAACCGATGTATTAGCCTAGGCCTAATTTATATTTGGATATACACGAGGTAAAATGATATTTTGGGGGATTTTGGGGGCAAAACGCTACGACCTGAAATGGCCGTGGCGTTATCAAGGGAATGTGTATAGACGGTTTCCGTCTCTAAAGAGAGAGCCGGCCGACCCTACCCCAATAAGAGGCTAACGAACGAAAGAGACGGAAAATTCGGTCTAGGAGATACCCTACTAAAAATGTACCCAAAAATGAAGTAAATATTCATTAAATGTCCAAATTTTCTTGTTATTTTTGGAGTATTTTTCAGATAAACGTAGATATTAGTTTACACCTTTTCACAGATTTCACAGCAAACCGCTGTACAATACAAGTGCATACCGATGGTGGGTTGCGGGCGGGCGGGCCTGTGTGAAGTTATCTACCGTAATGTCTTAGATCCTCATTACGGTAAACAAAAACACAATGAGGATCATGTATATCTAATCCCACATTCTCAAACACAACAAAGATTGCAAACTACCTTTTGGTGTTCGCGCTTTGCTGAAGGAGTCTTTTACTCATACAACATGATCATTCAACATCAGTCAATATGGAAATTTATTGGTGGAACCTGTGTAAGAGCTTTGCTTACCTACCACGTGTTCCTGATGATATTGAACTGACATGTGATTTACATGACGAAAACATTGACCACAGCTGAGAATTAACGATTATGATCATGGCTGGAAACGCAAGTAATGGTCTTGTTTATGATAAAGGCTGATTTCACATTGCCAACTCGATTTTGACAACAAAAACAACAGCTGAATTCGTAGCTATTTACAGTAATCTTGCATTACACTAATTGGTGTTGTCCTAAAGTGTGTATGTGTATTATTTGCCTTTTGTCAACTTTAGAAAGTACTTGCTACTACATTTGTAAATACTACTGTACAGTAGTACTGCGTTGAAAGTACATGTTCATTGATTTTGAATATTGATTCAATTTGTGTCATTGCATAAGGGAAGGTTAGATCGAACAAGGTAATCAATATTCCCTGCGTGGAAACATTCAAAGTAACGATTATTATCAATGTTAAAATGGTAAAATACCTCCCCACTTTCACACTTGATGAGCTCTCCGAACACTGCTGACACTTGTTGCGTCACGCATGGTACCAAATTAGCATAAGCAAACAGTGTCCCATAACAATGCACACATTTTCAATGCCTCTTTCGTCATCTCCTTTTCACTAATTTTTCTTACTCGACCAGCATCATTGTATTACTGTTTGAACACATTGTATCAATTTGAATTTTGGACATGGTTTATTAATTCATTTTGATGAAAAAATGCAGCATTTAAAAAAATTAAGTAATCAGTTGTAGCTTCACTATAGATCATAAGAAAGACGCCATTGTACATTCAGCTGCACTGACACATGCTTAGCATTTCAATCGGGAACAAACATCGTCCATGATTTCTATCATTTGGCGAACTTTGCAGTTCAAAGTACATGTACATGTAGACTGATATTTTGGTGTTTTTTAAACCAATCATTTATCCTTGCCCTGAATGTTTCTAAGCAAAGGGTTATTATTATCAGCATCAGCATCGCTTCCCTTTTAAATTTGTGTGAAATATGTTCAATCAAAATCTTATTATTGAAAAATAATTCTACTGAAAATATGTTCATTAGTTTATAGGACGTCGTCTGATTACACAGGATCAGTGTCTGATGTGATGCCATCAATTCAAAACATCGCTTAATTTTCTGGCGAAGCGCTTGTATTCCAAATCCTGAGAGGTGATCTTATTTGTGTTGTCCGATATGCAGTTGACCTAAAATTTATACGACTGTCATCTGTATTATTATCTTTCTGGTATTTACTTTCTAGTGATGCATTACTGGCATACGCTGTATCTATGATTTTCTTTGATTGTCTACTGTAATTATCTTTAGGCTTACAATACATGTGAATGTTAGTAAACTAAAAATATGTGTAGGGATTTGTTATGAAATAAAACACCCATCTTCTTTCCCTATGCAATGTAATTGTCAGGAGTATGAGTACTGGCAATGTCCTGGAATCTCCAATGTCTAGCGATGTTGATCTTCTTCACTGTGTATTCAGAACCAAGTGCTTTTGGCTGCCTGATCAAACATAGAATCAGACATAAAATCAGAGTTTATTTTGGCTAGCCTGGTTTCCAGGGTGACTAATCATTTCATACCGGTATATGGTTGTAAGGTACATGTACATGTACAGTACCCCTCAAAATGTTGTTAATGTCTAAGGTGAGGTCTTACTCTTTTGGGTAAAAAAGAAGATATAGCAGTCAACTTACATCTTTAATACATTGTACAACTGTAGGTTTGCTTTGGATGAGTGCATTTAGAGAAACCAGATTTTTGTTTTGAATGGGGTTTTATTGCTTACTACATACTGGTAGTTGGGGAAAAAGGGGAGAAAGAAATTCACGTTCATCCACGATTTCCGGCGCACATGCGATCTATACCGCTCAGCACGCTAGTACAACTAGTAAACACGGAAAACCGGAAATCGTTGTGCATGATGGGATCGGAATATTTGACTCTGTACTTCTGTCTAATGAAGACGGTCGCAAACTATCCCGCTAGTTGGGATATGTAGTGGGATATTTTGCAAACTAGACCGAGATACATGTATCTTGGGATATTATCCCGACCAACTATCCAGCTAATTTGCTATTTCGGTCTAATGAAGACGCAAATTAGCTGGATAGTTTCGATCGGGATAGTTCAAATAGCTGGATATTTGGCAATCTCGAGATAGTGAAGACACGCCTAATGAGGTTTTGTACAAAGTACATCCACCACACCTACAGACTGCGTACATTTCAGAGAAGTACAAATGTGCACCGTCCGTTGCCCATCAAGTTTGAATACCATTTTTATTACCTCTTTCCATGAAATGATTGTGACAATATGATTTATATTTATACTCTTGACAACTTGATATAAAGTAAATATAAACGTCAAAGTTGTTTTTCAGATATTAGGCAGTAGATGGTAGTAAATAAGTTAAAATTAAATGATTCAAAGACTGACTTTTTTTGTTGCTGCTTCAGCTCACTTGTTCAGTTTGACCTTCAAAAACAATAAGAAACTTGGTGTTGTATTTGATTCTCGCATATATACATGTACATCTGGTTACAGTGCGTAAGGAATATTGCTAGAATCACAAGGTTTATTGACCAGTCTGCCTGTCATAATGCTGTGATTTCTTTAGTTCTATCCCGTATTGATTATTTTAATGGGCTTCTCTCTACCATTCCCTCAACTAAATTGGATCGTGTGCAACGGCTACAAAATTGGGCAGCCCGATTGATACTTCAGGTTTCTAGGGACCATCCATCTCAGCCACTCTTGAGCTCATTACACTGGCTTCCTTTGAAACAAAGAATACATTTTGGATTTGAAAATGCGCTTGTTTGTCTACAAAATACTCAGTTATAATCAAGCTCC